GTTTGTTGTTTTGATTAGAAATTAGCCCCACATTAGATTTTGCAGGTTTATGTTTCTTGGTTGTGGGTTTTTGGGGCATGGCTTCTGTGTTCATTTGGGTTTTATTTTAGATTCCTCTGTGTTTGCCTCCTAAAATAGACCATTAGATTCATTTGTTTTCTTTCGGTGCTTTCTAACAAAAGTAAACGTCTTTTTTTTTGGGGTTCAATATGAACATCTCAGGTGGGTTTTCTTTGTTTCTTCAGATGGAACACCTATGTGGGTATGATCAAGTTTGTATCAAGATTGGATCTTTTTTTGGAAAGGATTGTTGGGTTTATCAAGTTTTGATTTGATTACTTGATGATTTTATGAAAAGACCCTCATTTTTGGTCTTAAAAGTTGTCCTTTTTTCGTACATTAAAAGGACAAAAGAAACTGCAAATGTAATAATAACAAAAATAGAAAAATAAACTATCAAACCAAGCTTTGGTATTTCAATTACTGATTCATGTCGGGTTGCCAAGAATAGATCCATACATGTATATGTAGGAATCCGTTTGATTACTAGAATCACAAAATTATAACTTCTCAACTTTGTTGGGATCTATAGCTTTTCAGAGCTTTCGTTAAGAATATGGTTTTTTTAGATTTACAAGAAATTTTCAAGCAACGCAGATTCTGAGATGTGTACTTTCAACTTCAACTCAAAAGCCGAATGTACCGAATGGCTATTTTGTAATCTACATTGGTGAAGATAAGAAAAAGAAGCGCTTCATAGTCCCCTTATCATATTACCCTTCTAAATTACTATTTTATGGTTTCTTTGTCTTGTTGGTCATATGTACACACAAGAGCATTCCCTCATCTCAACTATCTTCTTCTGCTTGCTTGCTAACTCCCTACTATATAAAGTCAGGAACACCCCCAAAAACCATTTTACCAAAAAATAAAAAATAAAACCAATCTAAACGATTATACCTCCATCTGTGCAATTATAACTTATGGTATACTTTTACTCAATAGGAACAGCAAATATAGCAACTCAAGCAACAATTTAACAAAACAAATAGGGCAGAAATGTACCTTTGCGGATGTGGAGGGAGGAGGTGCAACGAGCGGCTGAGGAGGGAGGAGGTGCGACGAGCGATGATGGAGGAGAAGTTACAGAGCCAAAAGGGGAGGAGGGTGGGGAGCAACGAGGGAGGGTGTAACACCCCTTACTCCACATTTGCATATAACATGTATTTCATATAAATTAAATATAGATTACATCACATAAGTCCCACTAGTACAAGAATTCTATATGTACAGAATTTACATATGAAAAATTCCAAAAGAATATCCCTGCACTATCACATGTATAGCAACATGTATCTTCAAAATATACAGGCATCAGGCTGATCTTCATAAAATAGAGAACACATAAGGAAAATAATTATAATTTCCCTTTCCCCTTATTATCCCAAGACCTCGCAGTTCCTACAATGCACATTTTCAAAATACAAAAAAATGAGGGTTAGATAGGAAGGTCTAGTGAGGATATCCATTCTTCGTAAATACAGATTGAAGATCATCAAAACCTGATAAAACATCTTTTATATAGAGATAAATGTATTTTAGCAAAAACATGCAAATCTGTTTGTTAACCAAAATATAGATCCAACATATTGCTACAACACATAGCACAAATGTAACATCAAGGAACTTTGAATCTCTTAACGGATTTGCCATAAAACTCCTCTGGCTCAACGGGCCAGAGCTTCTCTGCTCTTGATTACTAGAGCCTCTGGTTCTACTGACCAAAACCTCTATACTCAACAATTCAACACTCAACCAGACACCTTCTGAACCCACGGAGTCTCTGGTCCAAAAAGGACCTACCTAAAATTTAAAAGACAAATAAGCTATAACAAGAGCTCCTCTTGTTCTTTGTTTCATTTATAAGACATTTGAAGATATTATTAAATTTTAAAAGACAGAGCTTAAATACTAAAAATAATTATTTTCAAAATACAGAGCCTTTGTATAATAAATACAGAGCTTCTGGTTCATAAAATTCCCAAAACATTTTAAAGTCTTTCAATATGACCAGAGGTCCTCTAGTCCTTCTAAAAGACCAACCAGAGCCTGTCTGCATCATTTTCACACTTGTTCAAACTTGATAGAAATCATATAGAAATCATAGGCAATTGATGCCTCTTGTTATAAATTGTTTTCCCCTTCTCAATAACATCAAAGTTATTACTTCGAAAGCGAACAATACCTCCAAATCATCAAGCCACAAAGAAATGTTGATTTAGAATTATTGTATCTGATAGTGATGATAACGAGAGTTATAATATTAACCACACCAAGAATTTCCACCCTTATATCCATAGGTACATCTCTCCTTGATATGTCACCCTTATTTCTTCTTTAAAACGAGGTTCCTTACCAGAACAGACTTATGTCACCACGTTAGGAAGTACCCAATAGCCAGTTCCAAGCCAGAACAGACATATGTGACCACGTCTGAGGAAACTATTTAAAACAAGTTTCAAGCCAGAATAGACTTACTTCACCACGTCTGGAAGAAACATTTCTTAAAATAGAGTTTCAAAGAAGAACAAACTTACGTCACCCCGTCTGGAAGAAACATTTCCCAAAACGTAGTTTCAAACCAGAACAGACTTACGTCACCGCGTCTGAAAAAAACATTTAATATCTTTTCCAATAAATTGTGAAATCCCATATTAATAATCAAAGTTTTAACAATAATTTCATTGGCCAACTCTTATCCGGATATTACTGTCCGGACAAGTTGTGAGGTCACTTTGATGATCAATCTTCAATGTACCTCAAGAATCCATGGCAAATCTGGATCTAACAATTAAGAACATGAGAGGAGTTTGAGAGAAAAAGTCAACTTTCAAAGTTTGGTCAAACTCTATATTACGTAAACTGAAATTACAATTAGGCTCATACCAAAATTACAAAAGACTAACCCTTTATATAGGGTCAGGGTCAAACTAGAAAGCCACTAGTCAAAGTCAAACTTACAAGAAAAGTCAAACACGATGACTTTTACAACAATTATAGACAAAAGTAACCTTTCAATTCGAATACAATTTACACTGAAATGCAGTCCTAACACAAGTCTATCCGGACAACACATATCCGGACATTCTCAGTCTGACACTCCTATCCGGACAACACTTGGTTATTCTGAGCAGTAGACAGTTATCCGAACACCCCTTCCTCGGATAACATAGTGTCTGGCCACAAGCTTTATTGATCAAGTATAAATTACACAACTAAACAACAATCAACTGGATATACTCTCATCGGACAACAAGTGTCCGGATACAGCTCTCATCTGGTTAACACAGTGTCTGGACTCACCCTTCTCGGACAACAGGTGTCAGGGTATACTCTAATCCGGACAATATTGTGTTTTGTGAAGAGACCTTATCAGTCAATAAAGATCAATAAGAACATATACAACATTTTCAAAACATACATCATCATTTCGAAAATATAAAACCAGTAATCAAAGTTGAATTCAAAAAAAAACTATTTTTAAACAAGACTCACCTTTTGCAAACTCAAAAATTTGAAGATGAAAATAGCAAATACGAATCAGCTTCAACTTGATTCCAACTTCAGCAAGTGATACACACAATATGATTAACTTTCCTAAGATGGCAGGAGAGTTAACTTTCCAAAAATGGCCTCTTTTATACCTTCCGTAAGAGGAAGGCGGTTGAAGAGATGTCACCAGCCCTTCATACAATTACCCATGCATAGACATGCATGCACATAAAGTATGCATATACACACATGCATCCACACATAAAACTAATGCATCTTTATGCATGAAAATATACACACCTATATGTTAATCTCATGTAAGCATGTATCTAACTGACCAATTATAACAATTAATCAAATATTCACATAATCATGTAATCAGATAATCACATAATAATTACCTCAGGTGACAACCAGGACCCAGTTATCACAGAGGGAGAGGAGCGACGAGGGAGGGAGAGGAGGATGCGGCCGATGAAATTTGAAAACCTAATCGAAGGGCATGCTTGGAAAGTTGAAATCTAACCCGGGTAAGCATTGTTCGCGTGCTATCTCGATAAGTATTCGGTCAGCACATTGGTCAGTTTTCGGTCAGAGTGATAGTCTGGTAAACAAGTTGACTGCTGACCGGTCAGCGCCTAGTAAACATCCCCTTAGTTATTCATTAGTTGACATCATATACCCCTAGAGATGCAATGTGGAATGATTCATGCCAACTTAAATCTCAATTATATTAGGGGAATTCAACAGAATTAGCCGATCGATTAGGGTTTTATTTTTATCCATTTTCTGACTCAAATTCACTTTTTACATAAGGCTTAATCATATGCGTAAAGATTGGCTTTTCGGAAAAAAAGAAAAAAGGATCCTTACACATAGGATTGTTAAAAGCGTGTGTGAGGATCATAAGGCTCAAGGTTTTGGGCTTTTTAAAGTCGAGGTTAGGTATATTCACGAGGCTTACTAAGGCCTTGGGTGAGGCTCCTAGTATATACAAATACTGATTTTCTACGTATAAATCGGTGTTTATGCTTTCTTGATTTGGATTTCTTCTCTCAATCTCTCTCCCTCACTACAAGGAAAAAGGGTTTTAGAGAAGGAATTTTTAGAGAAGATTTTAGAAGTCTATCTAAAGATATATTATAGAGAAGAAAATAAATGACAAAAGTGAAAAATGTAACTGAAAGTAGGATGAGTTTTAGAAAAATATTTCAAACTAAATTATACACTACCAAAATTGTCTCTAAAAACTTCAGATAGTTTTTTTTAATGAAAAGCTTCTAAAAAATATGAGGAGGGGCTTTAGAGACGTTTTTTTAAGATAAAAACCTTCCCTAAAGTGTTTGTTTTAATTATTTATCAATTTTATTAAAAAAATACTATTTTTTTATAACCCATCGCTCCCATCCCTCGACTCTATCTCTCTCTCCCTCCCCCTGTCACCTTCATCGTTTCTCTACCGATTTCGCCGTCGCCTTCATCAAATTCTCTACCGATTTCGCCATCGCCTCCGTCGATTTCTCAGCCGAGGTCCCGTCGTCGTGTCTCCATCATGATTTTTCTCAATTTGGTTTCGTTTATGTACATAAATCAAGTATGCATTCTGCCCTAATCTGGTTCTGTCTTTCTCGCATAACCTGCTTCTTCATGGTCTGATTCTCCATTCGGTTAGTCATTACATGTATTTGTTGTTAGGTTGAATGCATTTAATAAGGTGAGCATATTTAGGTTTAACGTGTCTGTAGCATCCGATTGGAATTGAAAAATTCACTTACAGAACCATCCCCTTCCCAATCCCTATCCTATCTGCTTTATTGGTTGTAGTGATAGCAGTTTGTTTATACTTATTACTATAATTTTTTAATAGCTAACACAATTGGTGAGTTTCCTTTGATTATTAGACCGGCTTTTACTTTAGGGGGTTCTGGTGGTGGGATTGCTTATAATAAACAAGAATTTGAGGGAATTTGCAAGTCTAGGCTGGCAGCCAGCGTGACATCACAGGTTTTAGTGGAGAAATCTTTGTTAGGTTGGAAAGAATATGAGCTTGAGGTTATAAGGGATTTGGCTGACAATGTGGTTATTATATGTTCTATTGAGAATATTGATCTAATGGGTGTTCATACTGGGGATTCAATCACAGTTGCTCCTGCACAAACTTTGACCGATAAGGAGTACCAACGGCTTGGTGATTACTCCTGCACAATTTGTTGTGAATCCTGTGGATCGTGAGGTTATGGTTATTGAAATGAATCCTAGAGTTTCAAGGTCCTCTGCTTTGGCATCAAAAGCTACTGGTTTTCCTATTGCAAAAATGGCTGCCAAATTATCTGTTGGTTATTCTTTGGATCAGATTCCTAATGATTATTCTAATACTAATTTATATGGTACAGATACCCAGGTTTGCATTTGAGAAATTCCCAGGATCTCAACCGGTGTTGACAACCCAGATGAAGTCTGTTGGTGAATCCATGGCAGTAGGGTACACGTTTCAAGAATCTTTTCCAAGGCAGTCAGATCACTCGAGTGTGGCTTCTCTGGTTGGGGTTGTGCACCAATCAAGGAACTGGACTGGGATTGGGACAAGTTGAAATACAGGTTTGCATTTGAATCTGGTCGCTGTCCAGATGAACTTATCCCATGATAGTTTAGAATTTGGGAGCTTTCCAACATTAAGGCTATGTTTGGTGAGCTAGTTGTTGGCTGATAAACTGGTCATGTTTGGTAAAAACTAGCTGATAAGCTAGATGATAATGTAAAATAACTTAAAAGGACATGTTGAATAATTAATTAGAAAAAATATAAGGGGCATAATTGAAAAAAAAAATACAAGCTCAAAAAATAAGCTAGTTGTTCGGTAAACTATGTGATAAGTTAATTGTTGGCTAATAAGCTAGTCATGGGTTGTGAAAGGTAGCTGATAAGCTAGATGACAATGTAAAACATTCTAAAAGAACACGTTGAAAGGTTAACTAGAAAAACTGCATTTTTTTTGTTGATTAGTTCATTTATATATTTTCCTTCATTCACCATTTTAAGTGAACGTTGCTGCTTCGAACAGGTATTGCTTTCTTCCTTATGCTTCGAACCGATTTCTGCTTTTGTTTTGAACCGATTTCTGCTTCTATTTCAAGTTCTACAGTTCAAGTTCTTCTGTTTTTATGCTACTGTTTTATGGGGACTGCGTATTTCAAGTTCTTCTGTTTTTATGCTACTGTTTTATGGGGACTGCGTATTNTTCAAGTTCTTCTGTTTTTATGCTACTGTTTTATGGGGACTGCGTATTTCAAGTTCTTCTGTTTTTATGCTACTGTTTTATGGGGACTGCGTATTTCAAGTTCTCTCATTTATTACTTATTTCCAGCTTTGTTTATAGCTTTTAAAAATGGGACTTCCTGTGATAGCTTCCTTATGTTTTCTTTGTTCTGTGATAGCTACTATAAGAGTCATTTTGACATTGAAAATTTGGGAGGATAGTTATCAACGTTCTTACCAAAAGTAAAAACATAATGCACAGATAAGGGGGGAGTAGAAATAATGCTAATTCTACCCAAAGGGTGTAGTTGACTGTTGTCTTTTTTTATGCACTAATTTTGGAAATTTGAAGTGCATGCTGAGATCAAATCTTCAATATCCATATGTCATCAATATTTTAATGTGAATTCCACACCACAAACCCTATAATGATTTGGGATAATAGGTAATAAACTAATAATATAAAATTTGTGAAGGACACCATCTTAATAAACAATGGTTTCAAAGAAAGACCTTTTCTTTCAGCCACTTTACTAAGTGCATATGGAGCAGATTGATAAGCTGAAAGAAGACAAAGGAAATGGTTATGCACATGGTACATCAGCTATGAGATAACAGTTCCAGCCTACGTAAAAGAAACAACACCTTGAAAATGTCTTGCTGATAAGAAATATGTTCTATGAATTGTCTGATACATACACAATATCCTATTTCACAATCCTTGCTGCCCCATGATTGTTGTTCTCCTGTTTCCACTTATTGTAAATGTAATTTGGAATGTTCTTTATTCGCTTTGTCATTTGCTGCACATTAGTTAATCCTTTTTGCATCTTCTTAAATTTCTGCTCCTTAAAATTCTGCACATCATTCAATTTTCTGCAACTATTTTACTTAAGAATGAAACACATGTAGTTTCCCATTTGCATTATCATAAAAACAATAGTTCTACATCTGTGACTTCATGAATACATTAATTGACCATCGAAATTAACACCGACTCAATACACCAACACAAGCAAATTGATAGATAAAACCAAACCAAACCAAACCATTATTATCTTGTGTCTTTTGCTAACATTTGTATTGTTCTAACATTGGTTCTTTTGCTAACATTTGTATTGTTCTAACATTGGTTCTTTTGCTAACAGGTGCAATTTTCTTGCAGTGAATGTAAAATACACTTGACTTATGTCTTCCATGCAGCTTATATTACATTGTAAAGGAGGATATCTGAGACCTGGTAATATTTTTAGCTCTCCTGTGTTTGTTATGTTTTAGTTATATGATCAATGTTTTTACATCATCTTTCAATTGTATGAGTTCAAACTATATTCCCTGATAAAACATCGGTGGTGAAATTGGTGATTTCTACTCTAAATTGCTAAGAACTATGATAAGAAGGTCTTGTACTTGGGAGAAAGGAAACCAAGGAAACCAAGTTTCTGTTATGGTCATGAAAATAGGTTATTGGAACACTCCATCTATATGAAACCCAAGGACAAAGAATGTGAGGCAAAACCTTTCATTCTAACCCTTCTCAATAAAGTAACTTCAGCCAGACATCCCAAATTGAATAGGAGCCAGGATACAGCCATAACTTATTTTCAACCGCTTAGCTTCCACACACCATCCTGCCATGTTCTTGATTAAACTTGTACATCCCTCTTGCTCTGACTAGCAACAGCTCTCCCTCTACTTATAGGACTAGTGTGGCTCATTTCTCAATGATCTTGGACAAGGGAAACCTTGCTGTAATGTTTAAAACAAAATAAATATTGGGACTTGACCCGCCTTAGAATTTGATCAAATTCAGTGTTCAAGCTAGAAGCATATATTGCAATTTTCTGTATATGGTCTTCCTGTAAGCCTCTTACTGGCATATTAGAAAAACTTATCATCCTACTTGATTCTTGCTAAACCAATTGCTATCTGCATGACCCTTTAATTAATCTCTTGCGAACGCACTCTGATGCATATTTTATTTTGTTTCTAAAAAAAGGATATAGGCAGCAGGCTTAATCACGCTTTGCTCCATCCTTAGTGGTGTGTTGCTACATTCAAGTAGAGGAATGACTTCTATGGTGCCACTAAAACATTAAGGTTTCAGTTTATCGTTGCTTACCTCCTTCCTATTCATTTTATTTAAAACTTTTTTGACCATGGAGACATTTCTACAAAAGGTGGTCAAGGAGTTGCATATTAACAAAAACCTGACCTTTCTTGCCGTAGCTTTTTGGTGCTCAAGGAGTTGTACTCGCCTATGTCTATGTGTGTGTGTTAGGTTATTGGAGACTTGCAACACCTTTCAGTCTTTATATTTTTACCCCCTGTATTTTTACCTTTCATGTTGTTTGTGGATTGTTTTGGTTATGGTTCAAATTTATACTTCATGGAATATTTCATGTCGTTTGCTCGTTATTGTCAGATTAGTCTATGTTCAAGACCAAGTTTTTCATCCTCATTAACTGTTCAAGACCAACTTTCGGAGACTCAAGATCGTTAAACATGCTATGATGATTTTTGATGTTTT